GGGGTGGGGGACCGCGCGGGGGCTCCTGGCGAGGTGGGGGGGTGGGGGGGGGGGGTGGCGAGGGGGAGAGATGAGGGGAGGAGTGGGGCTTTTTGAGGGGAAAAGGAGGTCTGGGGGGCAGTGCCACCTCATCGCTTTTCGATCTCGCCCTCCTCCTCTGGGTTTTGGATGGGGACCTGCTCCCTGCGGGCTCCCGGGAGGGCCTGGCACTGTAGAGAATGGGGTGGAAACTCTGTCTCCCAGCCCCTATAAACAAGGCCCTTTCACAATATACCAGGGCTGTGCTATTTTCCAGCCAAAATACATCCCCCTGCTTCTTCCCGCAGCCAGCATTCGGGCACGGAGAAGCCCGGATGAGGACAGGGAGCCACGCTCAGCCTCGCCGTGCCCTGTGGCGTGTCTCGCCCCACAGTAGCTGCTGAGCTGGCCTCAGGCGCTCACACCAGTCGTGGAAAATCTTCCGTGAGGCTGCTGCTCAAAATCGCAGCTGGTTTCCAGCTCCCTCTGCTCATGGCCGGCTCTCTGGGGGTGCGCCAGCCTTTCCCCCCGCCCCCAGCACAGCCTGCCGTGGGGTATGGCAGGGAGTAATAAACTCAAGCTGCCGGCCAAGGTCTCCTCTGCTCTGGGTTGTTTTCGGCAGCGGTGTCCATGAGTTGCTTTTTGCTGCTTTCTCCCCCAGCACCTGGGCTGTGCTCGAAGCCTTATCTCAGAGGCTCCCAATGTAAAAATGGGTGCAAATGTGACCTTATTTGCCCCCTGATGTTATTATTCTTCTGCATTCCTTCACTGCGCTCTCCTTCCTCATCCTCATCACGTCGGGTGACAGTGCATTGCTTGAAAACAAAGCCCTCTGCCATTAAAAAAGCCATGTATCACAGTAGGCTGGGGGAGGCTGGACACAGGGAGGCTGCTTGGAGAGCAGCAGTCCCTGCTCTTGAAGGAATTTTGGGGGTAAAAGCAGGAGGATGAGCCGGGACTGTTTTGCACAGGGTGTTTCCCTGCCACCCCCTTACCGGGTGGGGACCGGAGCCTGTTGGTTTACGCTGATTTTTGCTCACTTGTGCTTCCTGGTTCCTCTGCGTTCGCAGGGGGAGGAGCGGCGGTGGCCCTCTAATAATCTTCTGAAAGAAAGGCAGAGTGATTTTGTAAAAATCAGAAATATTTATAAAATTTACTAAATTATAAAAATTTATTTTTAAAAAAAAGCTGTTTTGCTGTGCTGCCGCGTACCACGTTCTTCTAAACAAGGCCCACCTTCCCAGCCCCTTTGGGAGCTGCGTTGAAACAGGAGGTGGACGCGTCCTTGGTGTTTTGATCCTTCCTTTAAGGTTTAGGACTTCTTGAAGCGTGGTGCTGCCAAAATTCCCCCCGGCCATGGGTGAAGCAGGGGTGGCTGTGCTGCAATGGGGTGTGCGGGGCGAGAGCCTGCCTTTTCCATACAGGAGAGCAGAGAGGGATGGATCCGGGTCCGGATCCGCTTGGCAAGAGGCGAGCGGTTCCCTTGCCCTCCGTCCGGGCAGGGATGGTGCCCCCTCGCTGCCTGCTCTGCCCCGCCACGCGCTTCGTGCTTCGTGCCTCATTTTTTTTTTTTTTCCTCCAGGAAGACGTGAGACGCTGTGGCTCACGTGGACTTGTTGGCCCCCGGCCTGGCTGCTGCAACTGCCCTCCCCGGGCTCCGGCAAGCAGCGCCTGCGGCTGCGCGGGCCCTGCCAGAAGCCGGCCAGCCCTATACTGGGCGATGCTTGGCCCCAGACTGGGTGATGCTTGGCCCCAGACTGGGTGATGCTCGGCCCCGTACCCAGCGATGCTCAGCCCAGTACTGGGGGATGCTTGACCCTGACCTGAAGCTTGGCCCGGTACTGGGTGATGTTCAACCCTGTACTGGGCGGTGCTTGCCCTTGTGCTGGGCAATGCTCAGCCCTGTACCAAAGCTCAGCCCAGTATGGGGTGATGCTCAACCTTGTACTGGGCGAAGCTCAGCCCTGTACCAAAGCTCGGCCCAGTACTGGGTGATGCTCAACCTCATACCAGGCGATGCTCGGCCCCGTAGCGATGCTCGGCCCCGTAGCGATGCTCGGCCCCGTGCCGGGCGCAAGGACGAAGGCAGACCCCCAGGCTGACCTGCGCCCCCCCTCCCTGTCCTTTCTCTCCCACGCAGGCAGGACAAGCTGAAGGTTCACATGAGGAAACACACCGGGGAGAAGCCGTACTTGTGCCAGCAATGCGGCGCCGCTTTCGCTCACAACTACGACTTGAAGAACCACATGCGCGTCCACACCGGCCTGCGGCCCTACCAGTGCGACAGCTGCTTCAAGACTTTCGTCCGCTCCGACCACTTGCACAGGCACCTTAAAAAAGATGGATGCAACGGTATTCCATCCAGGAGGGGCCGTAAACCCCGGGTGAGAGATGCCGGGGGTCTGCCTACCACCCCTACGGGGAACCCCGAAGATGGAAGTTTTCAAGCCGGTGGGGAGAGTCAAGAATCAGAGGACACCCTGCAGAGGAACGGCCAGGAGCAGCAGCACTTTGAGGATAATTCAAATAATGAAGCATCAGGATTGAATGTAGCAGGAGGGTCGTCTGAGGGTAACACGCAAGGACTCTCCTAAACCAAAAAAACAAAGTGTCACAAAATCTAGTTAGTACTTTTCCTCCGATTTTTCTCTTTAAAGATGTTTCTCTCCCTTTTTTTAAAAAAAAAACAGAAAAAAATATATATATATATTATGTTTCCAATCTTCCCATCGTAAGCAGGGCTCCCCCGAGGATCCCTCAGTAGCCAAGGACCTTTTCTTGGAAAGGCAGATGCTAGGAAGCACAGGGTGGGGATGGAAAGTGGCTCTGTCACATGGAAAAGAGCTTCCATGTAAATCCAAAGCTTTATTTTGTGTCCAAACACACGTTAAAAAAAAAAAAAAACAAACCTATTTCAGAGAGAGATCTATTTAAGAAAAAAAAAAGCAAAAATAGAAAAAAAAAAGTGGTAGGAGTGGAAGGGCTCTTTCAGGGCGGGCGGTACATGGTGCCTCGGAGGGCCGGGGGGAGCGGGGCCAGCCTTCCCCCCTCCGCTTTTTGGGAAGTTAAAGCTCCAGTGGCGCAAGATGTTCGGTCGTTGCTGCGTCCCGAGGTGGAGATGGCTCCTTCCAGGGAGATCGGGGTTGGTTTTTTGGGGTAAGGGGGTGTGGGTCCTTCCCACAAGCCCCGGCGTGAAGCCGAATTTGCCAGAGAGGGGAGCCGACGGCAGTGGCTCGGTGTAGAAAATTGCCTAAAATTGCCTAATCGTGTGAGTGGACAACCAAGATTTTGCAGGGCGGGTGTCGGACACCCCGGATTGGGGACACCCCGGGTTGGGGACACCGGGGACTGGGGACACCGGCTCCACCGGAGCCAACGGGTAACGCCGGGCGAGGGTGCATCCGTCCCCGCGTCCATCCCCGCGTCCGTCCCCATCCCGGGGTGTCCGGCTCATCCCGGGAAGGGGCTGAGACGGAGCCGGCACAGCACGGATCCCACCGACCCCTTCCCAGCACCCGCTGCTCTGGCAGAATTTGGGGCTGGGGGGGGAACCCTCCCCCCTAGGCTATTTTAGGCACTGGGTCAGCGCAGCAGTGTTCCCATATGCCCCGAAAGCGCCTAAAAATGGCAAATTCCTTTTAAAAAAGGTTATTTGAGGTCTCCGTTAAAGGGGCAGGAGGCCTTTGGGCGGGGGGGCGGCACGAACTGCAGCGGCCCCAGCTCCCCCCAGCCCCCATTCCC